GTGTGAGAAATGAGGGAGTGAGATACAGCTTGTCGATATACCTCTGCACCTGCCAACTGTTCTTTGGTTTATTTTTGTGTGTTTACCTATACTTGCTATAAATTCAAACATCAAAACATTATAAATAGTCAGCCCAGGCAGGAAAGTCTGGGAGACTCTTACTTCCAATCAACCACCAGAAAACTGGAAGTGGGGGTTGTGATTCAAAGTGATAGAGCGCTAGTCTTGAGCAAAAAGAGCTCAGGGACAGAGCTCAGGCCCTGAGTTCAAACCCCATGACTCACCAAAACAAACAAACCCTTTATAAATAGTGCCATTTACTAAGACAGCCACAGTATCAAATAATAACATGTGGTTTAGATAACTACCTATCTTTGAGAAATAATTGCTAATTTTAATAGGGAATAAAGGATTTCATTGCAATCTATTGGGTTAGGTTAGACTGGGACCAAGGATGGAAAAAGACATTATGAAGGGTAGTTCAGAAGACAAAAATAGAAATTTAGAAAAATAATATATAGATATGTCTATATTTGATTATATTCTTTCTTTTTTGGTAGTACTGGGGTTTGAACTGAGGGCCTTGTACATGCCAAGCAAGTAAGTACTCTACCACGGAGCCACGCCCCCAGCTCTTGTTCTTTGCTGGTTATTTTTAGGATAAGGTTTCATTTCCCACCTGCACACTGAGGATTTTAGACTTCCTGTCATTGCCGGGAACACAGGCTTGTGTCCCTGTGTCCATTTCTGTTGAGACAGTCTCACTGGACTTTTCTGGTGGGGCTGGCCTGGAACTGTGATCCTCCTTATCTTAGCTTCCTGTGTAGCATGGAATGATAGGTATATACCACGGTGCTCAGCTATTGGTTGAGAAGGGGTCTCACAAACTTTTTTGTCTGGCTTACTCTTGAACCTCAATCCTCGAGTCTCAGCCTCCCAAGTAGTTAGGGTTATATACCTGGCTGTCTTTTTTTGAGTATAACCATACTAGTGAGTGTAAAGTGGAACTCTGTGTATGTGTGTGTGTGTGTGTGTGTGTGTTGATTCTAGGGTTTGAACTCAGGGCTTGGCATTGTCCCTGAGCTTTTTTGCTCAAAGGTGGTGTTCTACCACTTGAGCCAAAGCCACTTACGGCCTTTTGGTGGTTAATTGATAGAGTCTAATTCCTACTCAGGCTATCTATCTATCTGTTGATCTCTTGTTTTAGAAGTACTGGGGTTGAACTCAGGACCTTATCTTACTAAGAGGTGGTCTATATACTGTGTGTGTGTATGTGTGTGTGTGTGTGAGAGAGAGAGAGAGAGAGAGAAGGAGAGAGAGAGAGAAAGAGAGTATCAGTCCTTGGGCTTGAATTCAGGGCTTGGGTGCTATCCCTGGGCTTCTTGAGAGAGAGAGAGGGGGGGGAGGGAGAGGGAGAGGGAGAGAGAGAGTCAGTCCTTGGGCTTGAACTCAGGGCTTGGGTGCTATCCCTGGGCTTCTTTTTGCTAAAGGCTAATACTCTACCACTTGAGAGACAGCTCTACTTTCGGCTCTTTTGGTGATTAATTGAAGGGTAGAGTCTCACTGACTTTCCTGCCTAGGTTATTTTTGAAGCACAATCTTTAGATTTCAGCCTCCTGAGCTAGGATTACAAATTTGAGCCCCCAGTGCTGGGCTATGTACTTATATTTGAGACAGAGTTTCACCATGTAGCCCAGGATGACCTCAAACTTATGATCTTTTTATCTCAGCGTCCTGGGTGTTGGAATTACAGAATTACAGATGTTTACCATCATGAGTCCCATTCCCCCTCTCCCCCCACCATTATAGGGCTTGACTCAGGGCCTAAGTGCTGTCCCTGAGCTCTTTTGCTGAAGGCTAGTACTCTGCCACTTTGAGCAACAGCTCCACTTATAATTTTTGAGTGGGTAATTGAAGATAAGAGTCTCATGGAGACTTTTCTGCCCAGGCTGACTTTAAACCACAGTCCTCAGATCTCAGCCTCCTGACTAGCTAGGATTACAGGCATGAGCCACCAGCACCTGGCAAATTTTTGAGTGGCTTTTTTTTTTTTTTTTGCCAGTCTGGACACTGTCCCTGAGCTTCTTTTGCTCAAGGCTAGCACTCTACCACTTGAGCCACGGTGCTACTTCCAGCTTTTTCTGTTTATGTGGTACTGAGGAATCGAACCCAGAGCTTCATACATGCTAGGCAATCACTCTACGACTAAGCTATATCCGCCCCCCCCCCCCCGCCCCCCCCTTTTTTTTTAAAGGTTTGAACTGAGAGCCTTTTGTTTGCTAGACTGGCCCTCTTTTACTTAAGTCACATCCCAACCCTGTTGTCTTTTTGGTTTTCTTTTTGTTGGTCATGGGGCCTGAACTCTGGGCCTGGGCGCTGTCCCTCAGCTCTTCAGCTCAAGGCTAGTGCTGTATACTTGAGCCACAGTGCCACTTCCGGCTTTTTTTTTTTCTTTTTGCTTATGTGGTGCTGAGGAATCAAACCCAGGGCCTCAGGCATGCAAGGCAAGCTTTTTCTGCTTGTGTGGTGCTGAGGAATTGAACCCAGGGCCTCATTTATGCAAGACAAGCACTCTACCACTGAGCCACCTTCCCAGCCCACCCTGTTGAGTTTTATTTTTGATAATAATTTTAGAACAAATTCTTATTTGATCTTATTTAATTAATCTAACAGTCCTGTGAAATTTTTTTCTAAATAATCATTATCAATGCCATTTTATGGATTTGGAAACTAAACCTCAAAAGCCAAGACTACTTTCTAAAGTATAAGCGTTCAGGCCCAAATTTGCTAACTTGAGAACCTAAGACGTCAGCACTGGACTGTGCTATACTGCCTTTGCTTCTGTAAAATATGTGCGGCGTTGGAGCAGGAGGGCTGAAGAGAAAGTGAATGTGTGTCAGGACTAGACATCAGAATCAACACTCACACACAAAGCAGAGAGAGCCCGACAGAGTTTAGAACTTTTACCCCAAGTCCTAACTTCTACTCAGTAATATAAAGACCCTAAAGTTCTTAACAATGTATTTTAGTGTTGGAATCTTTTTGCCAGGTACCAGAGTAGCGCCAGCCTGTTGAACTTTCTGTTGGCATCAGCATTCTTTATGTGTGTGGTCCAGTACATTGGGCCACTTGTTGGATGTGGCCTTTGAGGGCTTCACAGGTAATAAAACTCAGGAACTATGATTTTAAAAAAAAAATGTAAAACTTGTCATCAAAATCATTTGTTTTTCTTCTTTCTTTGATGCCAGTCCTGGCCTTGAACTTAGAACCTGGACATTGTCCCTAAGCTTTCTTGCTCAAGGCTAGTACTCTACTAGTTAAACAACAAGTCAACTTCTAGCTTTTTGTTGTTGTTGGTGGTGATGAGGCTTGAACTCAGGGCCTGGGCTGTGTTTGCTAAAGGTCAGCAATATACCACTTTGAGCCACAGTGCCTCTTCCAGTTCTTGAGTGGTTAATTGGAGATAAGAGTTTCACAGGGACTTCTGTGCCTAGATTGGCTTTGAACTGTGATCCTCAGATCTCAGCCTCCTGCTAGGATTACTGTTGTGAGCCACTGGCACCCAGCCTTTGAAGCAGCTTTTGCATTTACAGTTTAAGTATAACCAAGTTGTTAGGCAGTCACCATCACCCATCTATGGAACTTTGTCTCCCCCCCCCCCACCTTATTTTGGAGGTTGAATTCAGGACCATGAACTTGCTAGACAAACACTCTACTACCTGAGCCAACCTCCCAATCCCAGATCTTGTTCATATACCCTAAACTAAAATTGTGTACCTACTAAATAATGACTCATTTCTCTTTTCTTCTAGGACATCAAACACAAAGATGCTATTTTCTTGTTTCTTTCTTTTTTTTTGTCTATAAATTTGACTACTCAAGGAACCTCATAGAATGAGAATCCCAGTTTCTATGTCAATGCATTTTAATTAATATCAGTGTGTGTGTGTGTGTGTGTGTGTGTGTGTGTGTGTGTGTGTGTGTGTTGAACTCAGGGCTACAAGCTTGCTAAGCCCAATCAAGCCCTTTTTGTTTTGGTTGACTTTTGGGATAGGGTCTTAAATTTTTATCCAGGCAAACCTAGATTGCAGTATTTTAATTAACACCTCTTGAGTAACTAGAATTAAAGCTGTAAGCTACAATGCCCAGCTGTTCATTGAGATGGAGTCTTGCCAATTTTTTGTGCTGGCTGGCTTCCTGACATCTGCCTTCCTAATTGGAATGACAAGCTTTAACTACTGTGCTTGGACAATTAATTTAAATTTAAGAAGTTGTGCCAGGTGCTGATGGTTCACACCTGCAATCCTAGCTACCCAGGAGGCTGAAGTCTGAGGATTGCAGTTCAAAGCTAGCCAGGGCAGGAATGTCTCTGAAACTCTCATCTCTAGCTAATCACCAAAAAGCCAGAAGTAGAACTATGACTTAAGTAGTAGAGCACTAGCCCTGAGCAAAAAACACTCAGGGATAGTGCCTAGGCTATGAGTTCAAGGCCTTAGAACTGGGGAAACAAAACAAAACCCCTAAAAACAAAAAACAAAACTATATCTGGCTATTCGGTGCCTTACTTAACAGTGCAGGCCTAGAAGTTGGGGAAAGTCTGCCTGTCACAAAATAGCATCTGGTCTGTCATATTGTGAATCTAAGCCACTTAGTCCATGTGTATTTTCCAGGACTCGTGGCTTGTGGGAACACTGTCCAGGAGAAGGTAAGTGAGAGACACATGGCTGGACTCTTAAATATCTCTTCAGTGCCTGCATAGCCTCCAAGGATGAGGTAGAAAAGGACACAGCTTAGACCTGGATTCCTTCCGGGAGTGTACTCAATGGCAGGGTGAATTATCCATCCCTCTGCAGAGCAGAAAATGGGGAGACAGCATTTTCTGGGAGTGGGGTGATAGGGCTCTGAGGTCTAGTCGTCTGTCACTGTGGGGTAGACATGGGGTCCTCCAATGAACCACTGTAAGAAGACCCATGCTCACTCTCACCCTGTGGTTCCTCCAGTGCTGGACTTCAGCGACCCCTTCAGCAGTGAGGTGAAGCCCAGAATTCTGCTCATGGGCCTGCGGAGGAGCGGCAAGTCATCCATCCAGAAGGTGGTCTTTCATAAGATGTCCCCCAATGAGACGCTGTTCCTGGAGAGCACGAACAAGATCTGCCGGGAGGACGTTTCCAACAGCTCCTTCGTCAATTTTCAGATCTGGGACTTCCCGGGACAGATTGACTTTTTTGACCCTACCTTCGACTACGAGATGATCTTCAGGGGCACAGGAGCGCTGATCTTTGTCATTGACTCTCAGGTACAGCTGTGGCTCCTGTGTGGAGGCCTCCATGCTTAAATAAGACTTTGGTCACTTCCCTTTTTGTTTTCGGTTTGTATAACTTCATACTGAGAAACTTGGCTCACATAGATAAGTAGGTGAGTACAGGGTGAGTTTTTATAGCGTTTGTCTGATTACTTAGTATCTTTCCAAGTTATATTTCCTACATTACTCAGTTTTTTTGTCATGAAAAACTATTTTTAGCCAGGTGCTGGTGTCTCATGCCTATAATTCTAACTAATCAGAAGCCTGAAATCAGAAGATTAAGGTTCAAAACCAACCAGGGAAGAAAAGTCCTGAGAGTTTTATCTCTGACCAACCAGCAAGAATCTGGAAATGGAGATGTGGTTCAAGTAGAGTGCCAGCCTTAAGCAAAAAGCCAAGTGAGAGCACAAGGCTCTGAGTTTTAAGCCCCAGAACTGGTGGGTATGCATGCATGCACGCGCGCGCGCGCACACACACACACACACACAGAAAATTTCCTTAGTTGTTCATTAGCAGACCTGATTATGAATTATGATAACAGGTCCTCCAGATGAGTGCTCAACACTATTGTTATGCCCTGAACTTGCCAATAGGATGGATGCTGGAGATCTTTCCAGGAGCCCCAGAGTGACGGGAAGAGGGGACAGGGCAGTCTACCCTGTTAGTTACTATGGTTCTGAGCCCACATTGTTTTAAAGATGGCTCTGTGTGTGTATGTGTGCACGTGTGCGCGTGCATGTACATACTGGTACTGAGGCTTGAACTCAGGGCCTCTTGCTCTTGCCTGGCTTTTTTGAGCCATACCACCACTTCTGGCTTTTTGCTGGTTTATTGACAATAAAAGTCCCACTGTTCCACATGGGCTGGCTTCAAACTACTACCTTGGATCTCATGTCTCCTGAGTAGCTAGGATTACAGGCATGTACCATTGGTGCCCAGCTGAAAGATGACTCTTGTCTAAGAGGATCAGGAACAAGGTGTCTATTTATATATCTATGCAGTCAGTAGTAATAAAATTGTCACCTGAGCCATCCATTTCCAGGAGGCAGCTCCCCTGTGCTTGTGTAGCTATGGGAGCAGGGTTAGATGGTTTAGGGGTTCTTCCTGTCCTTCGTGATGGAGGTGGGAGGGGAAGAACTGAAATGTACTGTGTGATCCAGATACCTGCATCATCTCATGTCTAGGGCCTTTTCCTTGCTGTCCCACTTGTAGTGACCTGCTTTCTGGTCCATCTGTGGCCTTGGCAGTGTCCCCTCTTGTCCTGTCTCATGTCTGCCAGGTAGTGGGCAGTGTGCTCTCTGCTGGAGGCTCAAGGACATCTTGTTCTCTGAGCCCCCAGAATCACCCTGTGCTATTTCTTTAGTTGTTTAAGAACCAAGAAGTAGACCTGCCTGGGAGTAGATCTCAAACATTGCTTATTTACTCGTTCACAATGGCTCAGGAAATAAGTATTAAGTATTTAATGTGCTTACCTAGCAAGTTGAACTTATGGAATTCAATTGCTAAAGCAAATCTCGTCTTCAGTGTTGATAATATGACTGCCATTTAGCCAAATGAAGTGTGCCAGCTTTTTGATTGGTTTTAATTTTACTTAAATTTGAAAAGTGTACCTTCCATTTGGGATGCTACATGTGTTTTATTTCTCTTTTGTTTTTTTCTTTTTTTTGGTGGTAAGTCAGAAAATGGTAAAGAATTTCTGAGAAATCTTTGTGTGTTTGTGTGTACTGGGGCTGGATTTCAGGGTCAGGGCACTGTCCCTGAGCTTTTGTGTTTAAGACTAGGGCTCTCTCACTTGAGCCACATCTTCATGTCCAGCTTTTTGGTGGTTCATTGGAGGTAACAATCTCATGACTTACTAGCTCAGGCTGGCTTCAACCACAGTACTGAGATCTCAGCCTCCTGAGTAGCTGAAATCACAGGCATGAGCTACTGGTGCCAGTGGAGAGCCATCGTTTTTAGTTGTATTTGAAAGCCAACAAGGGATCTGGGAAGGTTGCTCAATGGTGGAGTGCTAGCCTAACATGCATAAGGCCCTGGGTTTGATTCCTCAGCACCACATAAACAGAAAAAGCCGGAAGTGGCACTGTGGCTCAAGTGGTAGAATGCTGGCCTTGAGCAAAAGAAGCTCAGGGACAGTGCCTATGCCCTGAGTTCAAGCCCCAGGACTGGCAAAAAAATAAAATAAAACTAACAAAGGGAGCCTTGAGTGTGTGTGTGTGTGCGTGTGTGTGTGTGAGTATGTGTGTGTGCGAGTGTGTATGAATGAATGTGCACTGAGCTTAGGGGTAGAGCACAAGACCCTGGGTTCCATCCCCAACACTACAAAACAAAAATAAAGCAGTAAGGAAATTGTTGTTGAATACTACCATTTACTAAGAATAAAGGATAATCAAAGAAAAGTTCTAGAGCCTACTACTACCTGATACTTTATTTTAGGCAGTATTGAAATTTGAACTAAGGGCACTTGCATTCATTCCAGATGGCATTCTACCAATGCAGCCATACCCACTCCAGTCTAGCTTTTTTTTTTTTAACTGATTAGTTGAATGTAAGAATGTTCTGGACTTTCATGCCTTGGACGGATTTGTGATCCTTTGGTCTCAGCCTCCTGAGTCACTAGGATTCCAGGCCAGGGCCATAACACCTAGCATATCTACTGCTTTTCTGCTGGAGGCTGACTGACTGTAAATCACAATGGGTGTGAGAATCTCCCATGATGCCTGCAGCACTGAAAGCAAAGCAGACCCGAGGGAAGCCTTCAGGCAGCCAGTCTGTCCTTGTGTGCAAGCAGTGCTCTTTTGTGCTAACACCTCATTTTTATTTCTTGCCCATGATTTCCTCATCATCACAGGATTGTCAGATGAACAGATCCCCAGGTAGAAAACGTGTCCTCGCAAAATATTGTGAAATTAAAATGAAAAGCCAGAGGTATTTCCTGCGAGCTAACCATGTGACATCGGTATGACCCCGCAGAGACCACAAACCTCGAGAGCTCTGACAGTTCTCTCTCGAGCCATGCGAGTGCCAACTATGACCTGCCTGGGATGTCCTTACCCACTTTCAGAGAAATTAGGCTGGATAAACATAATGGGGAAGTTATCTGTAATCCTTCTGTCTCAATAAACCCAATATTTTTCTTTTTTCTTTTTCTGGCCCAGTCCTAGGGCTTGAACTCAGGGCCTGGGCACATCCCTGAGCTTCTTTTGCTCAAGACTAGCACTCTACCACTTGAGCCACAGCTGCACTTCTGGCCTTTTCTGTTTATGTGGTACTGAGAATCAAACCGAGGGCCTCATGCATGCTAGGTAAGCACTCAACACTAAGCCACATTCCCAGCCTTTCTTTTCTTTTTTTTAAAACCAGTACTGGGGTTTGAATTCAGAGCCTGGAATTCCCTGTTGGCTCCCTGTTGGAGCTCTACCATTTAAGTCATGCCAGCAGTCAGCTTTGTATTTTGGAGAGTCTTGAGAACTTTACCTCCCAGGATAACCCTAGAAATATAATCCTCCAGACCTCAGCCTCATGAGTAGCTAGGATTATAGGTCTGAGTTACCACTCTGGGCCTAACTTCAGTTTTTAATGTTTAACCTGTTGACACCATTGTCCAGTATTTCCCTTTCATTTAAAAGTTCAGCAAGTAAAAGATGAAAAGATGACATTTGTTATTGCTCTCCTCATAGTTTACTAATAGTATATTTAATTATTTTATTCATTTTATTTTGGTACTGGTACTGGAGCTTGAACTCAGGTCCTCACATTTTCCCTTAGCTTTTTCACACAGACTGGTGCTGTTCCACTTGAGCCACTTCTTCACATGTGGCTTTTGTGGTTAAGCTGGAGATTAGAGTCTCACAGACTTTCCAGGCTGTCCAGGCTGGATTTGAAAAATGATCTTCAGATCTCAACCTCTTGAGCAGCTAGGATCACAGGTGTGAGAGAGCAGTACCTGGCTTAACACTAGATTTCGTTTGGAGAATATTAAGAATACCCCTGGGGGTGGGGGTCAGGGGGGAAGAAAAGAGAAGGAAAGAAGTCTCCTTTTACCTTGCCCTCTGTATTTTTTAGGCTTGGAGTTGTCATGGAGCTGGAGTGGGTTGAGATGATGGTAAAGGTCCTTTATTCCTTATAGTCCTTCCTACAGATACCTTTCTTTTCCTTTATTTTTTTGGGCCAGTCCTGTGGCTTGAACTCAGGGCTTGTGTGCTGTCCCTGAGATTCTTATTTTGCTCAAGGCTATCACTCTGCAACTTGGGCCATAGCACCACTTCCAGCTTTTTCTGAGTGGTTAATTGGAGATAAGAGTCTCACATACTTTCCTGCCCCAGCTGGCTTCAAATCACGATTCTCAGATTTCAGCCTCCTGAGTAGCCCGGATTATAGCTGTGAGCCACTAGCATCCAGCTTCCTTTCCTTTTTTTTTTAAACTATAAAATCAAAACCTGTCCATACCTTCCAGATGGCAATAAATTCAGAGATGTGATGCCAGGTATGGGGCAAGGTCAGGAGCAGTGGGTGTGTCACACATTGTCCAATCCCATCCTGGGAACTCATGGACATGACTTGACGAGACCACTTTCTGGGTAAGTTGTGTATACACGACTGCCACGTTGTCATGGTAGTAATGCCTCTTTAGAAATGTTAGGTAGTCACTATGCAAGCCTGTGATAAACCGTAGGCCATCCCTAAAATAAAATTCATAGTTATTTAAAAGGAATTATGTAGCCAGGCACTAGTGGCTCATGTCTGTAACCCTAGCTACTCAGGAGGCAGAGATCTTAGGATTGTGGTTTGAAACCAGCCCAGGCAGGAAAGTTTGAGGCTCTTCTCTCTAATTAATCACCCAAAAGCCAGAAGTGGGACGGTGGCTCAAGTGGTAGAGCACTTGTCTTGAGCACAAAGAGGCTATGAGTTCAAGCCCCAGGATGATAGAAAACCAAAAACAAGTAAAAAGAAACTAAATGCTTGAGATATGGTCTCCTACATAAATGCATCTCCTTGGTATAATTTTGAGTGAAGAAAGCATCCATAGAATGTGATAGTCTTGTAACTTTGTAAACAGCATGAGGAAGTCTATGGGGCTTTGTGCATGTGCAGTGTGAAGGAGGATGAGCAGTAGCTCAGTGTGGTCTCCACTGTGGGGGGGCGGAAGGGGGGGAGGGGAGGGCAGGGATGACTAGGAGGATGAAGAGACACAGCACAGCCTCAGCCATTGATAGTCCACTTATTTCTTTTCTTTTCTTTTTCTTCTGTTGGTTGTGGGGCCTAAACTCTGGGCCTGGGCTCTGTCACTGAGCTCTTCAGCTCAAGGCTAGCGCTCTACCACTTGAGCCACAGCACCACTTCTGGCCTTTTCTGCTTATGTGGTATGAGAAATCGAACCCAGAGCCTCGTGTATGCAAGGCAAGCATTCTATCACGGAGCCACCTTCCCAGCCCCCCATTTATTTATTTTCTACTCTGCTGATACATGAGGTTTTGAATTCAGTGCCTTGCACTTGCTATTCTGGTATGGTAGCACTGAGCCATTCTCTAACTCTCTTTATCACTAGTTATTTTTAGGATAGGGTCTCTACTCCCACCCAGATACTCAGGATCTGTCTACTTTAGAATTCCTGCCATTGCTGGGATTGCAGACATGATCCAGGAAGCTACACTCAGCTTCCTTCTGTGGAGATGGAGTCTTGTGGGCTGTCTCTGCCTGGGCTGCCTGGCACTTCGATCCTCTAGTCTCAGCCTCCCACGTGCTTGGGATGACAGGGGTTCAAAAGTGTGCTCGGCTATGGATGGAGGAGGGTTTCCAGAGCTTTTCCTACTCAGGCTGGCTTCTAAATACATTCCTTCTATTCTCAACCTCCCAAGTAGCTAGAAATACAGGTCCAAGCCACATGTGCCTGGCTAATAAAATTTTCTTTCTTTCTTTCTTTTTTTTTTTGCCAATCCTGGGGCCTGTGGGTACTGTTCCTGAGCTTCTTTTGCTCAAGGCTAGTACTCTGCCACTTGAACCACAGTTCCACTTCCAGTTTTTTCTGTGTATGTGGTACTGAGGAATCTAACCCAGGGCTTCATATATGCTAGGCAAGCACTCTACCATTAAGCCACTTCTCCAGCCCCTGAGGTTATATTTCTTAGGCGTGAAAAATACACAGTTGTTTATTATATTATTATTCAGATGTCAGGATTGTTTAAAGCAATTACTCTAGACCAGACTCTCTATAAAGACCCATAGGCCACTGTTTGCTGACTTCTGCTCTGGATGTATGCATGTGCGTGAGTGAGTGCATACATGAGTGTGTGTGTGTGTGTGTGTGTGTGTGTGTATCTGTGTGTCTGTGTGTCTGTGTCTTGTGTGTGTTAATGAGTATTGGACACAAGGTCTCAAATATTCTAGGCAAGCACTCTACCTCTTTCTTGAGCTGTGCTATTAGCCCTTTTGTGTTTGTATTTTGTTTCTCACTAACTTTGTCTCTGCATGACCTCTAATTCATGATCTTCCTGCCTCCAACTTCTGAGTAGGTGGGATTACAGTTGTGCACCACCATGCCTGGTGTGGATTGTGCTCTTAAATGTTGCTAGGCCCCTTTTCCATCCACCTAAGGACTATTACCAAGTTTCCATCTCTCCGTGTGCATCACAGTTCACCAGGAGACTTCCCTAGGAGGAAGACCTTCCAGGAGGAGCTGGAGGTGGGGTGTGAGGCTACTTTCTTCTCCTGAAAGTGCAGCTGTGGGCTTTTCAGCCTCCAGCAACCTGTTGCGCCTGCCTAACTCCACTGTATGAGACTAGCCTTTTCCTCACTGTAGGAACAAAGCAGGTTTTCACACTTGAATTCTTTTGAAGCCCGGATTTGGGATGGAAGGGTTGTACAATGCATTTTAGGGGGTTGTAGTCATGTGGTTTGAGGTGAAGAAGCCAAGTGGCCTCTTACAGATGTCACCTTTGTTCCAGGATGACTACATGGAAGCATTGGCCCGGCTCCACCTCACAGTGACCAGGGCCTACAAGGTCAACGCTGACATCAACTTCGAGGTGTTCATTCATAAAGTGGATGGACTGTCAGATGACCACAAAATTGAAACCCAAAGAGATATTCACCAGAGGGCAAATGATGACCTTGCAGATGCTGGATTAGAAAAAATCCACCTCAGGTGAGAACGCAGCTCTCAGGAATGGCAGTGAAGGAGGGAGAAGGTCAGGATGACATCTCGAGCAGCGCAGTTGGCTGAACACAGACAGTTACTTGTGCATCATTTGTGCTGAGAGGATTTGGGAAACATGAGTTTTATACATGCTGATTCTACTCATTGCTGAAAGTAATGTTGGGTTCTGTTTGGATTAATAAGTGATTAAGGCTAATGTCCTTTTATATAAAACATACACATCTGGCGCTGGTGGCTTACACCTGTAATCCTAACTACTTAGGAGGCTGAGATCTGAGGATCACCGTTCTAAGCTCTGGCAGAAAAGTCAGTGAGACTCAGCTCCAATAAACTACTCAGAAAAAAACTGGAGGTGGGGCCGTGGCTCAAGTGGTAGAGCACTAACCTTGAGCAAAAGAAGCTTAAGGAAAGTGCCCAGGCCCTGAGTTCAAGACCCAGGACCAGCAATAAATAAAATAAAATAAAATAAAAACATATAGCCAGTAATCCTAGCTACTAGAGAAGTTGAGATTTGAGGGTTTCAAGCCAGCCTGGGCAGACAGATTCAAGAGACTCCTATCTCCAGTTAACCAGCAAAAAGCAGGATGTGGAGGTATGACTAAAGTGGTAAATGCCAGTGGTTCATGCCAGTCATGAACAGAAAAAGTCAAAAGTAAGCAAGAAGACCTGAGTTCAGGCCCTAGTGCCAACATTAAAAACAAAAACAAAAAACAAAATGGACCAATTGCCAGGCACTGGTGTCTCATGCCTGTAATCCTAGCTCCCCAGGAGGCTGAGATTTGAGTATTGCAGTTTGAAGACAGCCCATGCAGGAAAGTTCATGAGACTCTTACCTCCAATTAACCACCCAGCAAAAAAAAAAAGGCAGAAGTAGAGCTGTGGCTCAAGTGGTAAAGAGCTACTCTTTTTTTTTTTTTGGGGGGGGGGGGTGGTCCGGTCATGGGGCCTGAACTCTGGGCCTGGGCACTGTCCTTCAGCACTTCAGCTCAAGGCTAGCGCTCTACCACTTGAGCCACAGTGCCACTTTCGGCTTTTTTTCTTTTTGCTTATGTGGTGCTGGGGAATCGAACCCAGGGCCTCATGCAAGCAAGGCATAAGCAAGAGCTACTCTTGAGTACAAAAGCTCAGTGACAGTGCTCAGGCCCCAAGATACAAAAACACAAACAAAAAACACAAAACCAAAAACGGATACATCTAATCCAGGAAATCAATCAATATTGAAGTTTATGACATAAATAAAGGGAGTCATCTGAAAACAATCCAGATAGAAATACACAAAGAGGAAAGTTTCTCCATTAGTGTTTGTAGAATATAATATGCATCATTTGTCAATTGGAAAATGAAAGACAGTTTAACTCATCAGTGTTAATAATTTAACATCTGTGAACAGGACTGGAGGCTGGGGTAAAGTGTGGTTTGTTTTGTAGACCGTGAGGAAGCTGGCTTGTGCAGCTGGTCAGTCAGAGGCAAGAACAAGCCCAGCTCTAGCATGTGGGGGCAGAGGGGGTGGGGGGGCGGTAAGGAGGAATGAGGAGTTCAGGCACACTGGGTTTTACCAAGGTCACGTGAGTTCTGGAGGGAGTTGGGATGTGTGTGTGTGAGGACTACAGACACAGAGGGGAGATGATATAGACCCAGAAAACGTCTCAGCCATAGGCCAATGGAATGAAATTGTCTTCTCTTCCAGCTTTTATCTGACAAGCATATATGATCACTCAATATTTGAAGCTTTTAGCAAAGTGGTTCAGAAACTGATTCCACAGCTCCCAACACTGGAGAATTTGCTCAACATCTTTATCTCGGTAAGTAAATAATTTCCTGTTTACAGTCATTTACAGAAGGAGTGAGAAGTCTAATTTCTACTTGCTTTTACAGGATTTCAATGTCATTTAAGTAATACTTTTGAACATTACCATTATTTTAGATCTTTTAAAAATTAACTCTGAAAACATAAACTTCACTGGTCTAAAAGTATTCATTCTCACTGTAGGCAGTCACCAGGATTAATAAAATCCACCAGAAGAAAGTATGATTGGCTCATGTCTGTGACCCTAGCTACTCAGATGTCTGAGATTGAGGATCATAGTTCAAAGCCAGCCTGGGCAGGAAAGTCCCTGAACCCATCTCCAATTGACCAGCAAAAAGCCAGTAGTAAAAACTAAATATAGGGCTGGGACTGTGGCTCGGTGGTAGAGTGTTTGCCTCACCTGCATGAAGCCCTGGGTTTGATTCCGCAGTATCACAGAATGCTGGAGGTGGTGCTGTGGCTCAAATGATAGTGCTAACCTTGAGCACAGAGAGGCTCAGGGACAGTGTCCGGGCCCTGAGTTCAAGCTCCAGGACTGGCAGAAACAAAACAAAACAAAACTGAAAACATAGAACTTCCCTATGACCCAGCCATACCACTCCTGGTCATCTACCCAGATCAGTACAAGTGAGGATATGGTAAAGACACTTGCACATCGCTGTTCATTACTGCACTATTCACAATAGCCAAGTTATGGAAATAGCCCAGATGCCCTATAACAGATGAGTGGATGAAAAAACTGTGGTACTTATACATGATGGAATTTTACTCATTCATTAGAAAGAATAAGATTATGTCATTTGTAGGGAAATGGATGGACCTAGAACAAGCCACGTTAAGTGAGATAAGCTAAGCTCAGAAAGATAAACAGCAGAAGTTTTCTCTCATAAGCGGAAGCTAGATCTAAAATACAACTGGACATGATAAGTTATACAGGACTCTAGGCATTCATATACAAACTGTGAGACCAAAGAGGATACTTGTAGGTGAGGCACTCAAAGGCGTAACTTCAGGGGACACTTAAAATACTATTTATCAAAGCAAATTCCAGGAAATGGAATCATAGCTTTTATTAGTGATGGTTGTGAAGGTGTCATTCGTTTTGTTTTGGGTTTGTTGTTTGATGCCTTTTGTCTTTGATGGGGATGAAGGGGGCACAGAAATGGAGGAAGGAAAGTGAACAAATGTAGTCATGGTACTCAATGGACACTGTGTGGAAAATGAACTTTGTAGGAATGAGAGAGGGAAAGCAATGGAACAGGTAACATTGTCCAAAAAGAAGCGTACTTATTTCCTGACTTATGAAATGGTAAATCCTCTGTACAACATCTTAATAATACCAAAAAAATTATATATGAGATCTAGCCTAGGCAGGAAAAGTGAGATTCTTTCTTTCCAGTTAACCAACAAAAAGTTGGAAGTGGACCTGTGGCTCAAGTGGTATAGAGTACCAGCTTGGAGCAAAAATCAGAGCCTAGTCCTTGAGTTGAAGCCCTGCTACTAGCGTGCGCACACACACACACACACACACACACACACACACACTCACACTCATAAGGCTCATGACAGTGTAGTTTAAATTGCAATAATGTGATACAGCTTCAAATTCTTTTGTTTTTTTTTTGTCGGTCATGGGGCCTGAACTCTGGGCCTGGGTGCTGTTCCTCAGCTCTTCAGCTCAAGTCTAGCACTCTACCACTTGAGCCACAGCTCCACTTCCAGCTTTTTCTGCTTATGTGGTACTGAGGAATCAAACCCAGGGCCTCATGCATGCAAGGCAAGCATTCTACCACTAAGCCACCTTCCCAGCCCCCAGCTTCAAATTCTTAGTAGCTTAATTTCTGCTTATTTGTATTTGACACTAGGAATGGCACATTATTATTATTATTATTATTATTTTGTCAGTCATGGGGCCTGAACTGTGGGCCTGGGCACTGTCCTTCAGCTCTTCAGCTCAAGTCTAGCACTCTACTACTTGAGCCACAGCTCCACTATCAGCTTTTTCTGCTTATGTGGTGCTGAGGAATCAAACCCAGGACCTCATGCATGCAAGGCAAGCACTCTACCACTGAGCCACCTTCCCAGCCCCAGGAATGACATATTATTTTGTGATTTAAATTTTTTTCTTTTTTTAATCATAAAAATTAGCTCCTATTGACTGTACAGATTAATGGCTTTTACTGTGACCTTTTATTATCAGCATCACTACTTAAGCCCCTCCCCTTCCTGCTACACTTTCTTGCACCCCTCTTCCTCCCTTTCCAAGATTCCCTGCTTTGATAGTTGGATGGCATAATATTTTATGTAACCAAGATGTGGTCGGATGTCTGCCGTTGCTTTAAGACAGAATTCCTCTTTTTGTTTCAGAATTCTGGAATTGAAAAGGCCTTTCTGTTTGACGTGGTCAGTAAAATATATATAGCCACAGATAGCACTCCGGTGGACATGCAGACCTACGAGCTGTGCTGTGACATGATAGACGTAGTCATTGACATCTCCTGTATTTATGGGTGAGTGGAACTCTCAGGCCTTCTGCCCCAGGTGGCGTGGAGCTCAGGGTACAGCACTTACCTAATAGGCAAAAAGCTCTAGGGATCAAATTCAGCTCCTTTATCCTTTTCATAACTTTTAAGGCATTTTTGTGTTTATTGATTTGATATTAATACTTTTGCATGGATGTGTATATTCATGTATTTGATTTGGCAGTGCTGGGGTTTGAACACAAGTCCTGTTGTTTACATAGGCAATCTGCCTATGAGCCATGCCTCCCTTCTGTGTGTGTGTGTGTGTGTGTGTGTGTGTGTGTGTGTGTGTGTGTTTTGTTATTGTTGTCATAACGGGGCTCAAACTCGGCCTGGGTGCTGTCCCTGAGCTTTTCTGCTTAAGGCAAGTGCTCTACCCCTTTGAACCACAGCTCCATTTCTGTTTTTCTGGTGGTTAATTGATGAGTGTCAAGGACTTTCTTGCCCAGGCTGGCTTTGAACCTTGATCCTCAGATCTCAGCCTTTTGAGTAGCTAGGATTACAGGTGTGCACCACGAGTGCCAGGCTGTAGGTTTTTTTGTTGTTGTTGCTGTTTGTTTGTTGGTTATGGGGCTTGAACTCTGGGCCTGGGCGCTGGCCCTGAGCTCTTCAGCTCAAGGTAAGTATTTTACTACTTGAGCCACAGTGCTAAGTTTATTGGTGGTTTATTGGAGATAAGAGTCTCACAGACGTTCCTGCCCGGACTAGCTTTGAACTGCGATCCTCAGAGCTCAGTCTCTTGTGTAGCTAGGAGCCCAGCCACTGGTGCCCAGCCTTGTGTTGGTTATTTTTTAATTTGGGTCTTTCCATTCTAAACTGATACTGTGTGGACTGTGAGCCGCCTATTTTCACATTTCCATTGTAGCTGGAATAACAGGATCTTGCCACCATATCCAGCTTCTTCCACTGGTATGGAGTCTTGTAAATTTTTCTGACCAGATCATCCTTGAGCTAGAATTACAGATGTGAGCCCACAGCACCTGGATAATACTTTTTTTCAAAGGACAGAAATTTATTAGTAGACCATAAAATATGCAGTAACAAATATTGAGTAAAAGCTTAGGAGCATGGTACTAACCTTACTCGGTGCATCATGTAATTTAAATTCTCAATTGTTCCATGAGGTAGGAGCTGCTATACTACGTTACTGATGAGGAAATGTAAGTTTCAGAGTGACTAGGTTTCTAACTGCTACTCACATTTTCAGTAAGGGGCAGAAGTAGAATTTGAACTTGGGCCTAAATCCTGATTTTCTGCTGAAAACCTGTCATATAGCTTTGTGAGATGTCAATAGATAGAGATTTGAACGCTCAATAAACATCTCACTGATATTTCCACTATTTATTATAGAAAGTAACTACTGAGCTTTTTTTTTTTTTTTTTAATTGTGCCAGACTGGGTCTTGAACTCAGGGCCTAGGTGCTATATCCCTGAGCTATTTTTTTCTTTTTCTTTTTCTTTTTTGGGTCAGTCGTGGGGCTTGAACTCTGGGCTTGGGTGCTGTCCCTGTGCTCTTCAGCTCAAGGTGAGCGCTCTACCTCTTGAGCCACAGCACCATTTCTGGTTTTCTAGTAGTTTATTAGAGATAAGAGTTTCACAGACTTTCCTGCCTGGGCTGGCTTTGAACTTTGATCCTCAGATCTCAGCCTCCTGAGTAGCTAGGATTACAGGCATGAGCCACTGGCACCCGGCTGTTATCCCTGAGCTATTTTTGCTCAAGGCTGGTGGTGTACCACTTGAACCATAGCTCTACTTCCACTCTTTTTGGTGATTAATTGGAGATGTGTTTCATGGATTTTCCTGCTTGACTTGACTTTGAATTTCAATCCTCATACTTATCCTCCTGAATAACCAAGGTTACAATCTCCAGTATTATCAAAAACAACAACAAAAACTACAAATAAAGGAGAAAAACTTGATAGTGTTACCACAGAATGAAACAATCTCACACAAGTAGGAATATGCCACACATAGAGTGTGAACTAGTGACCACAGGGCATTCATTGCTGTCTGTTTAATTTTGGACTTTACATTGTCTTCCTGTCCTGGAGATCAGATTCATCTTCCTCTTCCTCACTGCCTGACTCCTCAACAAAGATTGAGTAATGTCTTACCCAGCTTCACACTCTGTCTCCTCTGTAGACTTAAAAGTCTCAATCCTACCACTTCTCTCCACTGATAAATCTTTTGCCCTCCCAGTCAGGTTTTCTCTGTTAACTCTGACACACACACACACACACACACACGCACACACACACACTATTTTTCACTATGGATAAATTGTAGGTGCCCTTTTTATTGAGATTTGTATTTATGTATTTATTTTTGTGCTGGTACTGGGCTTGAAGTCAGGGCCTAAGTACTGTCCCTTAGGTTTTTCACTCAAGGGTAGCACTCTACTGCTTGAGTGAGTCACAGCTCCACTTCTGGCTTTATTGCCCTCCTCCCCCTCCCACCCCAGGGCTTGAACACAGGGTCTAGACACTGCCTCTGAGCATTTTCACTCAAGGCTAGTGCTCTTACCACTTTGAGACCACAGGGCTACTTAGAGTTTTCTAGTCATCTTGTGAACCACAATTCTCGGATCTCAGCCTCCTGAGTAGCTAGGATTTCAGGTGGAAGCCACTTGCACCCAGCTTTTTATTGGTGTGTGTATACACACACACACACACACACACACACACACACACACACACACACACACACACACACACACACACACACACACACACACACACACATATTTTGTCGGTCATGGGGTTTGAACTCTGGGCCTGGGTACTGTCCCTAAGCTCTTCAGCTCAAGGCTAGCCCTCTAGCACTTGAGCCACAGCACCACTTCCAGTTTTCTGAGTGGTTTATTGGAGATGAGTCCCACAGACTTTCTTGCCTAGGCTGCCTTTGAACCACAATCCTCCTGAATAGCTAGGAGCCACTAACACCTGGCTTTTATTGGTATTTTTAAGTGCTTCACAAACACTTGCTTTTTCCTGCAGTGGTCTATTATTTTTAAGTCCCAAGGGCATGACCTTGGAATAGCTGAATGGAAGCTGAATGCCTGATTACCATCTAGATTGCTGAGGCAATCAGGCACAAAGTACTGCACGATTAATCTGGCACATATTTCTCGATATACATGATCATTATTGTACCATATGGTAATTAGACATAAGTGGCGAGTTGTTCACGTGAATGATGTTAATCAGAGTTACTTTGCCCAGCTAAAACAAACATGGGGAGTGAGGAGCTGTCTGGAGGAAGCTGGGCTCTGGCAGCAGATTGTTTTTCTGGGCCGGGGGAGCCCCAGAGAGCCACAGGATTCAGAACCAGTCTGGGTCACAATGGTTTTGGACTGGCACAGCAATGAGCCAGCCTAGTCCACCACAGGCTGGGTGGTGGTGGAGGTGCAGCCTGACCCCTCCCAGGAGTCAGGAAATGGTCAGCCTGTGACTGGAGGTCATGCCCCACTTGCCCTGCTGCCTGGAGGAGCCCACAGGGCCTACAGGTCATTACCTGGTGCCCCAGGAACCTGTCAGCTGAGGTTCTGGGTAGAAGGCAGTTCTCAATACTACACAACATATCAAAACACTGCACATACTTTAACCTCATGTGTTTCTTTTTGTTTTAACCTTTTTTTTTTTGCCAGGCCTGGGGCTTGAACTCAGGGCCTAGACACTGTCCCTAAGCTTCTTTTGCTCAAGGCTAGCACTCTACCACTTGAGCCACAGCACCATTTCTGGTGTTTTTCTGCTTATGTGGTACTAAGGAATCAAAGCCAGGGCTTTGTGCATGGTAGGCAAGCACTCTAGCCATTTGTTTGATGTTTTGCTTTCTGAAACTTTTGATTGTTAAAGCAATATATATTTATTAGACAAAATGCATAAGAGTATTGAAAATAAGCCAAATGTTGGTGGCTTGTACATGCCCAGAATTCAAGCTACTAAGAATGTTGAAACCAGTAAGTTTGAGTTTTGAAGTCTGCCTGGGCAGAAAAGTCTGAAAGACTCTATCTTTAATTAACCAATAAAAAGCCAAGCTAGAGACATGGCTCAAGCAATAGAATACCAGCAGAGCAAGAAAGCTGAGTGAGCATAACACCCTGAGTTCAAGCCTCAATATTGGCAAAAACAAACCAAACAAAACTGTTTGTTCAGTTGGGATTGGGGATATACAAACTTCAGTGGTCTGATATTTGTCTAGCAAACTGAGGACCTGGGATTTGATCTCCAGCACCATCCTTCCAACACCCCCTCCCAGCCCCTATCTCTCCCTTCCTTCCCTCCCTCTCTCCCTCCTTCCCTCCCTCCCTCCCTCCCTCCCTCCTTCCCTTCCTTCCTCTTTCTTTCTTTCTTTCTTTCTTTCTTTCTTTCTTTCTTTCTTTCTTTCTTTCTTTCTTTCTTTCTTTCTTTCTTCTCTCTCTCTCTCTCTCTCTCTTTCTTTCTTTCTTTCTTTCTTTCTTTCTTTCTTTCTTTCTTTCTTTCTTTCTTTCTTTCTTTCTTTCTTTCTTTCTGTCTTTCTTTATTTCTGTCTTTCTTTATTTCTGTCTTTTTCTTTCTTTCTCCTTCCTTCCTTCCTTCCTGGACTTGAACTCAGGGACTGGGTTATTGCTCCTGAGCTTTTGTGCTCAAGGCTAGCATTCTACCATTTGAGGTACAGCTCCATTTCTGGCTTTTTAAGAGTTAATTGGAGAGATGAGTCTCATGGACTTTGCTGCCTGGGCTGGCTTTGAACTATACAATCCTTAGGTCTCAGCCTCCTGAGTAGGTAGGATTACAGGCATGAGCCACAGGTGCCCAGCTTGTTTTCTGATTTTTTTTTAATGTAGATCATTTTGTATATGTAATTTTTAATCCTTTTTTCATTCTAATATTTTTATCTAACAATTTTCCTGTTATCAATAGCACTAATAGATCTAATGTTTGATATATGTTGTATTGACTTAAAATTTTTCGATATAAAGCCAGGCGCTGGTGGCTCACGCCTGTAAT